CCATCCAATTAACCAGAAAAAAGGCACAGTGATAGGTCTTATCGATAGAGCCTTCTTATCTCATCCTGACTTTCATAATAAAAACTTTGACTACATAATTAACATACTCCTTGACAATAATTACCCTCTTGACTTTATTTATAATATTTTTAAACAAAGACTAAAATATAATTTTCTAAAGAATAATGACTTAAAGACCTTCTTGACTAATAATAATCTTGACGAAAAACTTCCTCGTTGGTTTGTGATGCCTTATATACATAATTTCTCTGAACAATTTTTGTCAACCTTTTCCAAAGAGACTGACACACACCTTGCTTTCTACAGTCTTAATAAATTGTCCAGGTTCATTAAAGTACAAAAGGATCCTTTACCTCCCCTTTCTTGTTTTTTTGTTGTTTATAAAATTAACTGCAATGATTGTGAGGCTTCCTATGTAGGCCAGACTGGTAGGGTTTTGCAGTCCAGAATTAATGAACACAAAAATCACATTAAACGTAACACTACACAAACTTCTGTTATCGCAGATCATAGAATTAATTATTTCCACGATTTCTCGTGGGATAATGACAAAATTCTGGATTGTGAAAAAAACACTATCATCAGCGACTAATTTCTGAAACACTATACATTAAGAAACAGACACACGGTCTCAATTTGAACAGTGACACGGAGAATCTAGACAAATCATATTTACCATTTGTCGTTAATACAGCTTAAACTTTCCATTGCGCATGCTTCGACCTCTGAATTCACTGTTCATCTTGATGTATTTTTTGAATTTTCAATCAGTAATTGACAGCTCACGTGTTAACATGTATCCATCACGACTACTTTAATAACAGCATATTACTGTAAGTTTATATTAATTTTACAACGCGTATTTTGTATTAAAAATTTTTTTATTTTTTGTTCTTTGACATCTATTGTTTTTATATTCAATTTGTAGAAAGATTTTGATAAAGACCTAAACCGTTGATCGAAACGTTATCACATTATACATACACATTACATCTTGAAATAAAAATCATCTTCACGTGTTTGCACAACAACATCCGTGTCTTGCTTCAACTGCCTCTCATCTGGTTTTTTGCTTTATAAACTTATAAGCATTTTATAACTAATATTTCTTTCTGTATTATTTACAGAACTGAAACGTCGATGAATAAAACTTTAGAAATAGCAGATAATTCTACTGAATTACTCGATGATCAGTCGTCGCAAGCGTCTTCTAGTGGTAAGCAAACATTTACAAATAAAACTAATAAGATCGGTTTTCTTTAAAATAACACATCATGTTTTGGCTCACCCAGATAACCAAAACTAAATGAGCATATTTTGCAAAGTCTGCAATAACACATTATGCCAGTACAATGTAGCCAGCATTTAAACATAATCTGTTATTTCAACTAGTGTCGACAGAAAAACAGAAAGAAAAAGAGAATATAAATGTGTCATGCCGTGATGCAAATATTATTGCATCAATCAGGTAGAACTTGCTCAAAAAATGTAGCAAATTTGAAGCATAACGTGCTATTGTTATTTCATTCTTCATTTATTTCTATATTTTTGCTGTGTTGTTTTCTTTACATATTGTGCCTACATAATTTAGGCTGGATCCTCATGCAGACACTGGCGCTTTAGCACCAGCGCACAAGCGCTGTTTCAAATGTTGAGCAACAGCCAATGAGAGCTCTTCAATTGAGAATAAGTGAAGCGATAATTTATATCATATTTTATAGATATATTTTTAAATTGTAAATTATTTTTATTATGTTTTTTTCTATTAAATGATATGCAAATCTATTTGATTTTACATCCTTTTAACAAAATTAAAAAAATTGAAATTTAAAATCTTTGGCAATTACAACACTTGTCTAGTGACATTCTGATGACAATAGCGCGCCCAAAAGTTCGACCGAGCTCAACTTTTTCGGACAGCGTATTGTACAATTTTTTCACAAACATATATATATATATA